CACCTGGTCCTCCAGGGGCAAAGTTACCCCATTCAGGACCACGGAGTCCTCCACACCTGCCTGTCCCTGTCTCCAAAAAACAGTGCTTCTGTCTTGTCAGGATTCAACCTCAATCTGTTAGCTGCCATCCATCCTCCAAACACCTCCAGGCACTCACACAGGACCTCCACCGCCTTCACTGGTTCTGATTTAAAAGAGAGGTAGAGCTGGGTATTATTCGCATACTGATGAACCCCAGCGCATCTTACATCCCTACCTAGGTGTGATTTTGGAGCCTGGGAGCTTCTGCATCCAATGGTGCTGGCTCAGCCAAGCTGCTGCTGCTCTGAGTGGAGCTGATGACAATTATGAATAGATGAGGTTCTTAATGTTGGTAAGGAACATTTGCAAATGTCTTTCCCTATGACTTGTTAAATCCCAAAATGCAATGTGCAAAGAAATGGAGACTGCTGGAGAAAGGAGGTGGAACAATGACAATATTAATAAACATTCCTAATACACACCTTTGCATACATTGTTGAGTACACAATATCCAACAGATGATGCATCAGCAGATTTGGACAGATAAGGTGAAAGCTGTTGAGCAATTCTCCTTTTCCACTGAATGCCACTGAAATGAATGCCAGCTGCAAAAAAGTAGTAACAGCTTTTGCATACCTCTCATTCATTTCAATGGGGATTGTTCAAGGGATTGTGCCCACGTCAAGTAATTGATGAGTGACAGGCCATTCTTTAGACACCGACTGATTCCAATGGAACAGATGGCCGATAGTCTTTCCTGGCTGGGAATTCTGCCACGAGTCAACAGTCTAGTGTTTCATAGCAGGACTCTCTGGCTAGTGATGTTCATCACAATATGTTTGGATGGCACAGTGCCCTCACACAATGAATGGCCTGTTTACAACACAGGTATCAAGTGCCCATAGATTCGGAGTAAGCCAGGGCTTCATGGTGAAGGCTATTTTATGCAGCAGATCCCTTCTTCATGATGAGCCTGAAGTGCATATCTCTGTAGCTAGGTCAAGCCTGCAGAAACATAACGTTGCTACAACACATGTAATTGTGGGATTCTGAGATTGTTTTTCTATGTGCATACTTAGAGGAAGGCACAGCCATCTCTGAAAATACAGTCATTGGGAAAGCCTCTTGAATATTTGTAGATGATTGGAAAAGAATTGTTAGTCTATGGAATTGTTGTACAGGCCCTTGGGTAAGCTACCAGCAAGTAGCTAAAGTGTCTGTGCAAAATCATCTTAGGGAAAATCAAAGTACACATTATAGTACAACTGTATCTAAGGAGGATGCAAAGCGCCCTTCTCACTGGCAAAACTCCCTCGGGAAGAGAGAGGAGAGATCAGGGCTGCTGTGTATCCCTGCCTGTTTATCCTCACCAGTAGGAATGGACATTCTGCTAATATATTTTTGTACACACGTCTGCCAAATATACACATTTTGCAAGCAATTTTCCCATATATAATGCATTGTTTGGTATGCTATTTTCACAACTATTTGCTGTTTTTGGGTATGCATGATGTTTGGCTGGAGAACTGTGTTGCACCACTTGGACCAACGTTAATTTCAAAGGAAAGTTGCATTTCAGTTTGTTTATGGTTTTGGACATGCAAATTAGGTGTACATTCAGACGGAAACATAATCAGAGAAGGAATAGGATAAGAAGGTTAGAATGTGGTTAATACATTTCCACTGAAAGTTCTGCCCTTTGGAAATTTTGGCATGCAGCAACTTGACACCCATGTTTGTAAGGAAGCACAGATCTGGTAATTGCCCCAACCTAAGGCAGATCTCCAAAGAAGAAAATATTGTTGGGTTTTATTAATTTGTGACTCCAGTATGTCCCTCAGCATGCAAGCTAAAAATTGGGCATCCTTGTGGAGTATTCACAAAACTATGAAAAACAATGGATTAAATGCAATGAAAAATACAGACCTCCGTCAAAGCACTTATGAGCTTCTCTTATCCTCCATCCATTCAGATCAACTTCATATTCATCCTGCTGAGAGATTAGGAATGGTGTAATCCTATATCTGTTTACTCAGAAGTCAATCCCACTATGTTTAATGGGAGCTTACTACCCAGTAAGTAGTTACAGGATTGCATCCTAAATGCATGAAGGCCAGGAGCATTATCTACACCACATAAAATGTAGTATTGTTGCTTTTAATACAGCTCTAATTCATTTCAGCTAGAATTAATATAAAAATGTGGGTGGTATTTTTAGACTGGTTTATGTATTAAATGATTTTTATATTAAAAGTTGCAATTAGGAACGTTGAACTCCAGGTTTTGTTTTTTTTACTGCAGGGAGCAGAATGAAAGTTTCTTTTTAAAAAATTAATAAAAGTCCATTTAGAATAGCTGGATAGCTCAGTTGGTAGAGCATGAGACTTTTAATTTCAGGGGTCATGGGTTCAATCCTCATGTTGGGCAAAAGATTCCTGCATTGCAGGGGTTGGACTAGATGACTCTTGTGGTCCCTTCCAATTATTCTGTTCTGTTCTGTTCTGTTCTGTTCTATTCTTTTCATTAATTTACTTATTAATTCAGTAGATTTCTATTTTGCCTTGATGGAACTTGAATCAGTGAAGGTACGGTTGCGAGGCGTCTCCCATTCAGGTAATGACCAGATCCCAACCTGCTTAGCTTCAGCAAAAACTGTAGGAAGATAAACGGACATGTCTAAAGGAAGGGTGAGAGAAACAGCTTGAGAAGAGAATCGTCCTATTTTATAAATGTAGTACTAGATACGCTACAGGATTTGCCATCATCACTTCAACTCTGACAGTTCTGCTGATTGAAGAATCCTTGAATTCTGAAGAGAGTTTTCTACGCTGCTGGGCTAATGATTTGACCAAAGTTAAGCACTTTTTACTTCCATTGGTTTCAGTGGAAGAGTTAAGTACATCAAAGCAACGCCAATAAAAAGTGGGCTTTCTAACTGGTCTCACTTCTTCTGCTAAAAAGAAGACTTTGCCCCATCTCATAGGATTGTTAGCCTAGATTAGCATATTTATCACATATAAGATTAAGACAAATCCACCCAGAATCTAAGCTATAGGAAAATGTTTCACTGAGGCTGCTAAAAGGATATATATATATATATATATATATATATATATATATATATATATGAAACGTGCTACCAATTTCAAAAAGTGTACAGAATGTCTATGCCTGTGTTGCTTAATGAACAAGAAGCAGGTGATAAGGAAACCTATTCTGGTGTCACAGAGAGAATTATTTTATACCATGGAGTTACTAATTTCATGATTTCAGTATTCATAGCAAGAGATAACAAGAATATGCAGTGTACACCCTGAAGTGTCAGTAGGAAGGAAATGTGGAATTACATCTTTTTAACATTTTCCCAAGCACTTGTCTAGCTTGTGAAATAGCTTTGCGACTCTAATTCCCGCCCCCTCCTCTGCAAGTGAACGTAAGCTATTTGCATACATCATCCACAGCTATTTTTTATTTTATTTTATTTTATTTTATTACCAAAGACTTCTAAAAAGAGACATCTAGGAGTGGTGTAATGGAATTAAGATTCAGTTCTGCTTTCTGTCTGTTCTGAAGAGCATGCTTGAAATTTCAATTAGATTTCCCACTCCCCAAAGAAGCAAGTGCACAATGCCAGGAAACGGAAATTCTCTTGTTTATTAAGACTCTGAAGTTTCAATATTTCACAGCCCAACTTTAGCTCAGGGAACTGCAAGCTTATGGGATGGAATAGCTGTGACGCAGTGGAGCACAGACTAGGAAAAGTTGTTTCCAGTGAACTCTGTATATGCAAATAGATCCAGGTATGCATCCCTGGGAGGAAGGACCTCCGCCCCCATGCTGCAGGCAAACTGCTTCCCAAGCGCAGGGTGGTTTCAGAAATAGCCCCCAAACAGTGTGCAAAGTTGTTGTTGAAAGCCAGAGAAATATATGGTGCAAAGGGACAACTATAAGAGAGTTTGTGGACCCATGCAGTCAGTTTCCAGCTCAGTTTCCACCCCAGTTCCATATACTGGTTTAAGTTGGAGCAGCAGAAGTAGTGATTTTTGGCACTGTAGCATAAATGTGTTCTGCCACCCTCCCCACAAAAAATCCTCTGTGGTTTCAGTGGGGACCAAAGGGCCACAGAAAGCCATGCAAAGGGGTGATTAGGGAACTTGTTCTGGAGCTCACTTCTGGTAAAGAGCCTGGTAGAATTAAGGTACCTAAGCAGTCCCAATAAAAGGTAAAGGGACCCCTGACCATTAGCTCCAGTTGTGACCAACTCTGTACCAATTAACAAATCACCTGGTCCTATGTGTTGGTTTTAAATATTTTGGTATTTGCTTTAAAGGGGAAAATACTTTAGGTAAAATAAAAGAAGAATTCCCTGGATGCCTAGATCCAAGCTTGGGGCAAGTACTCTTTGACAAAAGACCCCCATGTTTAAAATCACAAAACATGCAGCAAAATAAAGTGTGAAATATAGGGTGTTAGACCTTAAAATATCCCTTTCTAAGTTTCTTCCAAAGTTCCCCACTTTCCTTAGCATAGAAAGAGACAATACATTTGGTATGTTAAAAATTGTTTACTTACAAACTCTTCAAAGGTTAGATTCATGTGTTTTTCCATACAGCAGCAAGAAAAGACAGGTAGCATAACTTAGGTTCCAAAATGGTAAGGGTTTCTAAATTATCTGTATAGAAAGACAAAGATGGCTTGCTTAAGCCATAACAGTGGTAGGGTTCACATGGTAGAAAAGAGAGAATAATGAGTTTGGTAACCCTTCCTCCCAAGGTGAGGGTGTGTAACTTAGATAAGCCTGGCTGGACAGCTTACTCTATGCTCTTAACCCCTTCATGTATTAATTAGACTTAAGCATGTTGGTTATAGGAGACAGATTTATTCCAAACTAGGCAGGGAGGTGCTCCCTTGCCTCTTGGGGTTGGTTAATACTGCAGGGGCTTCTGCCTCAAGTGGAGGGGCTTGAGCTTCCGAAGGGGGGAAGGTATAGCTCAGTGGTAGAACATCTGCTTTGCACGCAGAAGGTCTCAGGTTCAATCCCCCCACATCTCCAAGAAAGGCTGGGAGAAAACTCTGGAGAAGCACTGTCAGTTTGTGTAGTCTATACTAAACTAAATAACAATATAAAAAAATTCCTTCCAGTAGCACCTTAGAGACCAACTAAGTTTGGATGCACACGAAAGCTCATACCTTTAACAAACTTAGTTGGTCTCTAAGGTGCTACTGGAAGGATTTATTTTGTTTTGTTTTGATTACAGCAGACCAACACGGCTACCTACCTGTAACCAAATGACAATATGCTAATTATTTATTTGCTAAACTTTATCCAGTGGCTAGGCTTCCATGTAAGATGCAGACTTGCTTAAGTTGGTTAAAAGCCCTCCTTGACATGGTTCATTAGAGATAATGGGAGTTATAGTCCCACAACTTTTGGAAGATCATTGATTCCCCATCCCTGGCATAAGGCAACGTTTCCACATAAGTGCAGCAATATAGCGGTCTAGCTGCCTCACATATACATTTAAAAAATTGAAGCAAGGTTGAAGGACAAATAACATCACGTGTTTCTTTTGCATGTTTGCTCCAGTAGTTCTATTATTTTTAGGCAAAGTATGACCTTCCTTAGCTATGTAGTTAATCTCTTCAAATAATTCCTGTGACTTGGTCCATTACTAAAATTAAAAAAGATAGTTGTATTTTTAGATCTATCTTTAATAATGAGATTATACTGGCTGTTTTCCAGACATCAGACTCCTCTTCTAAACTGTGTATGCTCATCAGCAGGCATCTCCTGTATCTAACTGTGGGCAAAACTAGACACTCATTCAATTTGTAGCATGAAACTACATATCATGCTTATCCTTAATTAATTATAGGCAGCAGGGGCTGGATTCTTACTGGGAAGGCAGTGCATGAGGAGGAGGAGAAGCTCCTACAAAAAAAAAGAGTCAGGAATCATGGGATAAAAAGGTTAATCCTCTGTTCGACAAGAAAGAGAGAGAAAAAGTGCTGCTGTTGATTTAAAAAGCAGAGGTTAGGAATAAATGGAGATAAATAGTGGGTGCCCTGTAAATGTATATTGTAGTTACCCAAATAATTTTAATTGATGCTGTTTAGAATTCATAACTAAGGTGAGGTCAGAGATGAACAGAACAGTTTTCAAGTTTGAGAGTGATATGAAAGTATTTATGATGGTGAAATCCCAAACAGTTCTAGTTCTCTGAGGCTTCCCTGAGGGGCATTATAGGAAACGAGAATCCTGACACTGGCTACATACAGTATTTCTATACATAACTTGATTCCAAATTGCAGTTACTGTACCTGTTTGTCTGCATTATTCCCTGGTCATCCTTTGGAAGTATATTCAGTGCACTGGATTAATTTTTATCATGGAAAACGGAAATCTGGATATCTAAACGCTTTTAGAGAAAATGTAATATATACAGTGAGCCAAGTTTCAATGTTTCTTAGTTAAATCCGATTCAAGCATATGTTATTTGTCTTAAATATCTGTACACCCAAGCCAAGATGATGGCAGGCACTGATCACAAGCTTTGCCTTTGTGTTGATTGCATATGGCAAGGAAATAGGACTGCAAAAGGCAGTCTTATTACCAAGCTGTGAGTTGGCAGTTTGCAATGAAAAAATATCCAGCCTTTGTGGTGGGGCATAGCAAAAAATTCTATACTGCCAAATTAAGAAAAAAACAACAACATGGCAGTGAACAGTGTAAAATTGACAATGTTGTTGTTGTTGTTTAGTCATTTAGTCGTGTCCGACTCTTCGTGACCTCATGGACCAGAGCACACCAGGCACTCCTGTTTTCCACTGCCTCCCGCAGTTTGGTCAAACTCATGCTGGCAGCTTCGAGAACACTATCCAACCATCTCGTCCTCTGTCATCCCCTTCTCCTTGTGCCCTCAATCTTTCCCAACATCAGGGCCTTTTCCAGGGAGTCTTCTCTTCTCATGAGGTGGCCAAAGTATTGGAGCCTCAGCTTCAGGATCTGTCCTTCCAGTGAGCACTTAGGGCTGATTTCCTTCAGAATGTAGAGGTTTGATCTTCTTGCAGTCCATGGGACTCTCAAGAGTCTCCTCCAGCACCATAATTCAAAAGCATCAATTCTTCGGCAATCAGCCTTCTTTATGGTCCAGCTCTCACTTACAAACATCACTACTGGGAAAACCACAGCTTAAATTATACGGACCTTTGTTGGCAAGGTGATGTCTCTGCTTTTTAAGATGCTGTCTAGGTTGACAATAAAATTGACAAAAAATTGACGATAGAATTACATTAACCAAACAAGTTCAAAATGCATTATATATAGAACACAATTTGCAAGAAATGTTAACATACCTCTTTTAAATGCATTTGTGGAAGGGGAGGGAGTTTTATTGGTTTGTGGTTTTTATCATGTATTTCATGTTTTTATATTGTATTTTATGTTGTGAACTGCCCTGAGATCTATGGATGAAGGACAGTATACAAATTTAATAAATAAACAAAAATAAAATGCACACGAAAGTATTGCAAAATAGAAGCCACCTACTTGTTTTACTTTAGTTGCAAAACACTGTATTCATAGTGCTGTGACTGTAAATATTTTCATGCAAATACCCACACATCAGCTCATCAGCTTCGCATACTGTACAATGGGCAACAAGAGGTTTTAGTGATAGACCTCGTTGTTAGTTAAAAAGTTAACTGTTTGAGTTAAATTACATACTACTTTTCTGGTACCAGGTTATCAAAAACTGTCTTCTGTCAAAGTCAAAACAACCATTATTATGATTATGATTATGATTATGATTATGATTATGATTATTATTGCCATGGTCTTTTTTGAAATCTAGAAGTGTGGAGCAAATTCTTAACTCCATTAACTTTCCATTCAGATGCATCTGGAGAAATATGTTGCAGGGTCCACAAATTCACCATTGAAGACAACTTGAGGAATAGTAGGCCATTTGGTATAGTATTTAATTCCTCCCATAGGATTGAATTTGTGCCTGAGCACAGTCTAGGAGGAAACTGCTGTCAAGAGACAGGCAATAAACCAATAAACCATACTTCCTTCTGCAGAAATCAGGTCCATATTTTATTTTCTTCCTTGGGGCAATTCTCCCTTGTTTTCAGTCTTCCCCTGGCCAAGATAAGAGAGGCTGGAGTATGTTGGCGTATGGCTAACCAAAGCCTCTGCCTCCTCACCTGCCCAGAATTTCCAAGTAGGGCGACATACATCTTGTAGAACTAATGCAACTCCATGCAGATTATAGCTAGATAGACCAGTAGTCTGATTTGATATAAGGTAGTTTTCAATATTCCCAATTTTAGTCCTCAGTATTTGTTCTTGGCTACAATTTATGGTTAGTGAAGAGGAAGTTTAATCATGAGTCCAGGTTCAGATGATACACTAAGATGATACGCAAAACTTTCCTTAGCTCAACACAGCAGGGAAGTAAAAAGGACCAGGAAAGAGCAAAGCAGTTGCAAGCTGTTAGATCAGAGACTGCACATTTGCGCAGTCCTGAAAAGCCATAGCTTGGCTTACCATGTCTTGCAAACCGGATCCAAGTGTGTTTGGATGATCACACAGAGAGGTCTCTGCATGACTAGGAGCCATGATAATGGAGGGTTCCCAATCACATGGAGGATCCTATCAACATTCAGATGGAAATGAGCACTCAAAGGATAAGAGTTCAGCAAGTGAGGAAAATATATTGTAGCTATTTAATTATTTTAACTGTTGATGGGTAGTTTATTTCAACCCAACAAACTGTAAATTCACATTTCCTTTCAAATTTTGTTTCAAAAGCCATTACAGTGGTACCTCGGGTTACAGACGCTTCAGGTTACAGACTCCGCTAACCCAGAAATAGTACCTCAGGTTAAGAACTTTGCTTCAGGATGAGAACAGAAATTGTGCGGCGGCAGCGGGAGGCCCCATTAAGAACAGTTTCAGGTTAAGAATGGACCTCCAGAACGAATTACGTTCTTAACCTGAGGTACCAATGTAGTTATTTTCTGCATCCCCCCAACATTGCAAATGACCTTTTAAAAATAAAAAAGGTCACACACAGAAAATACTTGGGTTGTTTTCTCTCCTTAAAAAAAATTAAACTGATGTTGTATATAACAATTACAGTGCCTTCCTATTTAAGCTTAAATAATAGTTTTCCCATTGTGACGATGTATTGATTGTTCATTGCTCTGCAGTCCTTTGCTGGTACTGCCAGCTGCTCCTTCATGCTTGAACTACACCAAGAAGCCATATTTTTTCCAAATGTCAAGAAGTGTAATTAACCTTGCATTGCCCTTTGCTCCCTTAAAGTGTCCTGATATGTACAACTAGAGACATTGCTCTCTTTTTCTGTGTAGTGTGTGTGTGTTATAAAACATCTGTGAACATGTGTGATAAGTAATAAATATTCCACATGCCTAATATATTGTAGACAACACAGTTTAATCAGGCTATAGTGCAGAGCTAGAAAATGAGTGATTCATGTTGTTGGCTACAGAGACTTGTCTTTTTCTTTGTGACAAAGTATGGAGTTTTGGTTACAATTCTTACACTTGAGTACAGGATACAGATTTCCTTTTTGTATTTGAAACAGAATTCCTGGGCAAAATGGACCCAGCAAGGTAATTCTTACATTGCTATCAATCAGTGTCGTGAAATTGTTCTTTCTCCTGACCATGTGCTGTTGAGAGCCACATGGAATGCACTCTCAAAGAACTTTAAAAGGTTAGCAAGATGGGTCTTACCAAAGCTAGCCTTGTTCTGCTTCATCAATACTCGTTTTATACACTTGATAATACTATTAGAATGCTTTCCACCAGTTTTCCCAGAACAGTTGTTAAACTAACCAGCCTATAATGCTGGTTGGGAGTGCTGAGGTACATGCACAGACATAGACAGCTATATAAGGTTCATATCCATCTACCGGTGGCAGCATATAAATTACCTTCTCTAAACATACAAATATTGATTGAAAATTAGCAGCTTAGAAGGGAAAGGAAACAACCATCCTTTAAAATGAAAAAATAAAGAGTTTCAAGTAAAATTTGTATGGGGAACTACAAAAAAACCTAGTGAAGTCAGCCTTAGAGTTTCTACTATCATTTTGTTTGTAGGCTGTAAATTGGTCTGAAATGTTAAACGGAGTTTTCAACACACTCACCCTTAAGAATCTGATGGCTGCTTATTATGATTATGCGATAGACAATCTT